TGGCGTTTGATACCATATCATGGCAGGCATCGTATGAGCGTTAGGAGTATTATGATCTTGAATATTAGGTTGTCTTCTCTCAAGGATGTTTGTTCAATGCCAATGTTATCTCGCAAATCAATAGTAATGCATTTAGTTGGACTCCGTCACAATACCACGTCCGTCGTTTCCATGTCTCTCAGTGTTTTCTTGAACATGGACTCAGTGAGCTTGGTATTGTTTACTGATGCATTGACAAAAGAAATCTGACTGGCTGTGTCAGACGCAACCGCTCCTTATATGTACAGTAATTCCAAATCGCTCCCGTCCATTATCTGTACGGCGCATCCGCACGAGCAGCTGCGGCAATCTCGGGCTCCCACTTGTCTCCGTTTGCTAGCAGCTTCTCCTTGTTGTAAAGGAGCTCCTCGCGGGTCTCAGTCGCATACTCGGCATTGGGTCCTATATCATGTTAGCACTTGATCCGCGTACTCAGGGAACGTGTCGACATACCCTCAACAATGGCATCGACTGGGCAGCTCTCTTGGCAGAGTCCGCAGTAGATGCACTTGGTCATGTCGATATCATAACGTGTGGTCCTCCTGCTACCGTCCATGCGCTCTTCGGCCTCGATTGTGATGGCTTGCGCAGGGCAGATGGCCTCGCAGAGCTTGCAAGCAATGCAACGCTCCTCACCGGTAGGGTACCGTCGCAGGGCATGTTCGCCTCGGAAGCGGGGCGAAATAGGGCCCTTCTCGAATGGGTAGAAGATGGTGTATCTTCAGAAACGTCAGATTACCGCATTGCGACCAGGTAGCAGCCGATTAGTCTGCTAGTTGGAGTACTCACGGCGGGCGGAAAAACTGCTCCAGCGACACATACATGCCGCGGAACATCTCCATGAGCAAGAAGTACTTGCCGGCGCGGTCCAATGCACCTTCTCCTTCATCCCATCGCTTGGGCTTGGGTAACCGGAAGCCTGGCGGCGGGGGTCCTGCTGGGGTGGCGGCTCGGGATAGGGTGGTAGAGAAGAAGGCGACGGTGGCGGGCGAGGGGAGGCGTCCAGACGCGAACTGTGGTGACCGGAGCAGGGTGGCAGCCGGGCGGCTTCGTGCCAACATTGTCAATGGCTTTGCGCTGGCCATTGTGAGCGTGGTGGAGTCGCTGGCGGGTTGGGGGGTTGCTGGCGGATATGGAGGTTGTTGTCAAGCTCGAAACTTGAGGTCGTCGCTTGTAACGCGGAGGCTGCGATTGGCCGACAAGTCCAATGACGGCAACAACGGTGGGAGGCAACTCCGAGGTCAGAAATTTGACTCAGGTGATGTAGCAGGGTATATGAATGATTTTTGAGTCTTTCTCGGATATCTGTGTTACCTGTTGCGATAATTCAAGGTGCGCCTGTTCACTCGTACGGAAATGCTCTTGACGGCTGACTAACGTAATGTAACTTTAGTCTGAAGTTCTAGTCGAGCATCAACATCACCACCACCACCGACCTTGCTACCTCGCACGACACCCTCCTAAACCGTCCACCATGTTCCGAACAGCACTCCTCAGGTCCGCCCGGTCCGCCGTCCGCGCTGCCCCACGATGCCAGGCCGCAATGGCTCGCCCCGTTGCGCGAAGCTCCTTCGTCCAGCCAAAGCAAATGAATCCCTCCGTATACTTCCAGGCCGTACGATGCTACGCCGCGAGCGCCGGTCTGTCAAAAGATGAGGTCACCGGCAGGATAATGGACCTTTTGAAGAACTTCGACAAGGTAATGGTTATGTGACGGCAATTTTAGAAAGTGGCTAACGCAGAAGCAGGTCACCGATGCCTCCAAGGTAGCTACCAACAGCGTGTGAGGGATTGGAGACAAAGGCTTATATTTTGCAGCTGAACGCCGAATCGCACTTCCACAACGACCTCGGTCTCGACAGTCTGGATACCGTAGAGGTGGTCATGGCAATTGAGGAGGTTAGTCGGCCCGCGTGCGATACTCGGAAGGCAAATCTGACAGTGAGGCAGGAATTCAGCATTGAGATCCCCGACAAGGAGGCCGATGCCATCCACAGCGGTACGTTCAGATGCAGGGTCGGAGATATACATACTGATGATATCACAGTCAAGCAAGCAGTGGACTACATCATGGCCCAGCCCGATGGTGAGTCGCAACTTGAAAATCCCGAAGTTGCCCCAAACTAACACATCGTAGCTCACTAAATGATATTGGAGAGCCGCGCTGGATTGGAGATGATGGATGTGGAATTGAGAGTCGGTTCTACCGGCATCGCTATATATATGCCCCCGTGTAAAACAGTCGCCTGGGTCGGCACCGTGTACTTCTGATAGAATTGACGCTATCCACCTCCCAGTGCTTTGGCTTTTGTGTTGTTGGACGCCTGTTTACTTGATCTCCGAAGCGTGCGTAACTAATCTTGGCACATCCGAGACCGACACCCTGTCCGCTGATTGATGTGGCACGAGAATCAACCCCCAACGCGTAACTCACACAGGCGCCTTGCCATACCCCTTATTCTTTACGTCGCCGTGCCCGCCACCCTCTCCCACATCGCACTCACCGAAAGTCCCACATAGTCCGACACCGCGCATGCGCAGCCCAAGCGCCCTCATCCCTGCGCCCGTTGAGGAGCATCACGCATAATTTCAACAAGAACCCCCTCCCGTTCCACAACCACACCTGATGGCTTCTAGCTCTGGTCTGACGCGCCGGAGAGGAGGCGGCGGCGCTGCCGGCAACGGCGAGGACGAGAGCAGCCGGGTCAGCTCGCCAGCACCCAAGCGCAACGACGACCGCACCCCCGAAACCTCCTACGAAAGCTCCGAGAATGGCCACAAGATCGCATTCGACCCCCGGGACATCAGCGAAAATGCAGAGAGGAGCAAACAGCCCAAGCTGACGCTCATGGAGGAAATCATCCTCATGGGGCTGAAGGACAAACAGGTGTGTACCCGGCAGGGCGCTGGTGGGCTAGGGGCAGCAGGCTGATGAGTGAGAATAGGGATACCTGTCGTTCTGGAACGACAACATCTCCTATGCATTGCGAGGCTGCATTGTCATAGAATTGGCCTTCCGAGGCCGCGTGAGCATGCAAAAGGACTCGAATCGGCGACGGTTCCCCCTCGCAGACCGGGTCATCGAGGTTATTGACGACACGTTGACCGGAGAGGTTCTGCTGGACGAGGCCCTCAAGATGATGAAGTCGAGCGAGAAGATGAGCGTCAACTCGTGGATCGACCTCATGAGCGGTACGTTTGCGGCGCGCAATCCCAAGGCTGGTGCTCGGCACTAACTATACACACAGGAGAGACGTGGAACCTCATGAAGATTGGCTACCAACTAAAACAAGTACGCGAACGACTATGCAAAGGCCTCGTCGACAAGGGCATCCTGCGCACCGAGAAGAAGAACTTCCTCCTGTTCGACATGGCTACACATCCTGTCGCAGACGGCGGCGCAAAGGAGGAGATTCGACGCAGAGTCCGGAACGTTCTCACCAACCGCACCGTCGTCCTCCCTGGCAGCCAATTCCTCCCTGAGGAGTTGGAATTCAGAGTGCTGCGAACAATCACCATGGTCTGCGCCGCCTATGCCGCCAACGTCCTCGAGAACGCCCTGACAACGTTGGGTCACGAAGCGCGGGAACGGGCCTTCGCTCAAGTGGACGAGCTGCTGGCAGAATATTCGCAGTGGCCGTTTGCAAAGAGGCAGGGTGGCTCGCAGGGTGTGGGCGCAAACTTGGGTCAGCTCATCACGGACGAAGTTAACGGTTCCAAGGATAAGGAGCTCCAGCTTGAGGTAAGTCAATCGCTGTTTTGTTTTCCTTCAACATGACAGAGCGCTGACTATTTTACCATAGGTTGTCGCAGCATGCTTGAGTGTATTCACTCGACTTGACTCACTGCTTTGAGCGGAGGGAATACAACGAGAGCAGCGATATTACTGAGCAACAGGGGAGCGCATGTCTCAGCAGCGAACCTGCACGTTTGAGTATCTATCGCAAGCAAAGCAGACGCATATAGCCGGCGAACTTGTAAGCGGCGGCGTGTCCGGGCCGGGACTGGATGGAAATGTTTAGGTATTGTCAGTTTCTAGCACCGATGCAACTAGGATGGATCTGGAGGCGAGGGCGTCAGAGTGCGGTGACGAGGTGTACTACCAGACGCTTCTTATCTTCTTCTACTAGGCGGGTCTTTCCATAAAATACAACCTTTATTCGATAACGAACAAGGTCCACTGCATTACACGAGTGGCTTTTCCTCTGAGCTTACCGGTCTAGGTAGGCGCTAGCATTCGTCATGGCGTCACACGTGATGGGCTGCGTGGAGACGATGGAGTGCAGGTGTAATTATGTGGAACAGTCGGGAGAGCATGGCCTCTGCTTTCGTGAAAAGAACCACGCCGGGCAGAGACGCTGGGTGCGTGGGAGCGTGCCGACGAGCTTCAGTGTGGTCATGGGCTGGCTGGCTCGGCGCTCGCAAGCGGCGGGAAGTGGGAGCGAGGCGCAAATCCATCAATGCCTCTGCCTGACACACAACACATCATTCCGAGCTTATCCACGGCCGCGACCCCGCCCAAGGTACCGCAGCAGGTGTTTCGCCGATTTAGGTTTCCTGCCAATACTCTCGCCTGTGAAAGGCTTACAGACGGGCTGCTGCGCGCTTGACTACCCGATCGGCACTTCTTTCCCTGGACAGCCAAACAGAGGCCCAGCCCAGCCCTGTGACCTGTGACGACGCGCAAATTGCATGCTCGCAAAGGTATGTGTTTTTTCTATTGCTGCTATTTATTCGCGTGATCGCGGCGCGATGCATGCGCTTTCTGGAGATGGCGGCGCGGGTGTTGCTGTCGCCATCGCATCGCACGTCCGCCCCCTTCTTCTGGCAGGCGCGACCGCTTGGGACGCCCATTGACCCACTCGAGCCTCCATCACTCTTTCCAGCCTCCATGCCTCGGCTCTAACCAGGGCAGCAACACGCAGGTCGCTCCTGCTGCGCGCATCCACAGTTCCTACGCGATGCCCTCCCCGCCGCTAGCCGACTCTCAGTCCCTCGATCCCGCCCACGGCGCGTCCACCAACGGCATCAACAGTGAAGGTGCTGTCCAGCCCGCCAACGCCCCGACCAGCATCAATGGACCCGACGGCGCGTCCAACGACAACAACGCGATCCGAGACGGCAAGCAGAAAGCCAAGGCCGTCATGGCCGCCTCTGGTCTGAACCTCGCCGGCGCGCAAGGCGACATGGCATCGCCCGCGCAACCCGAAGCCATCAACGGCGCGTCGCCCAGCAGAAAGCGATCGCGTTCGGGCACCCGCAAGTCATCACACACGCCTTCCCACGACGACGGCGCGAAACCCACAGCCTCGCAGACGCACCTCCTCAACCGCTACATCGAGCGCGACCTCTTGGATAGCGTAAACAAGTACGAGCGCAACAAACATTCCGAGAAGGTGTATGGCGAACTCAACGACCTGCGCCATTTCTACCGCGACGAAGTATATCCGGTCCGACGACAGAACCCCGGCGCCATCTTTGGATATGGCTACGCTGGCTACGGCAACGGCCTGACCGAGATACCTCCCGACCCCAGAGACCCGCGCGCCCTACCGCAAACCAAGCTGCTATACCCTGAGAATGCCAAGCGCGCTGGCCGTCGACTCGCACCGCAGCTCAAGGTTTCGAAAGAGAAGGGGCTCCAGCAAGCAGACCAGATTGAGGAGCTTGTACCTGTGCGCTTGGATATCGAATTGGATAGACTGAAGCTTCGCGATACTTTTACCTGGAACCTCCACGACCGCGTTACCAACCCCGTGCTCTTCGCCCAAACCCTCGTCGAAGACTTCCAAATACCGCCCGAACTGCGCCAGAACGTAATGCAGCAAATCGATCGCGAAATTCACGAGCAGGTACAAGACTACTACCCCCACGCCTTCTTCGACGACGAACCACTGGATCCACATCAGCCATACTCGGCATACAAGAACGACGAGATGCGGATATTGATCAAACTGAACATTACCATTGGCCAGCACACCCTCGTAGACCAGTTCGAGTGGGAGATCAACAACCCTCTGAATGCGCCTGAGGAGTTTGCGAGACAGATGGCCGCCGACTTGTCACTATCCGGAGAGTTCACAACCGCAATCGCACATTCCATAAGAGAGCAGTGCCAGATGTTTACAAAAAGTCTTTACATCACAGGCCATCCCTTCGACGGGCGACCAGTCGAGGATACAGACATACAAGACAACTTCCTGGCATCTCCACTCCCCTCCGTATTCCGCCCGATGCAGTCAACAAAGGACTACCAACCCTACCTTTACGAACTCAGCAATGCGGACCTGGAGCGAGCCGAACTTTCAATCATGCGCGAACAGCGACGCCAGAAGCGTTCCGTCAACAGACGCGGTGGCCCTGCCCTGCCAGACCTCAAAGACCGCCAACGGACTGTACGGACGTTGGTCGTTTCATCAGTGCTGCCTGGCGCTGCGGAAACGATCGAGGACAGTCAACTCTTCAAGGCCACGCGTAAAGCCAGAGAAGGCCGTCGTCGCGGTGCTGATGGCAGCTCAGACGACTCAGATAGTGATGATTCAGTCATGGAGTCTCCCGCACCTGCTCAATTGATGACTGGAGGCACTGCTCGTACCCGTGGTATGCGCGGAGCTGCTACTGCTGCTCAAGCTGCGATGCGATCCGCCATTGGAAGATCAGCAACTCCCGAAGTCTCGAATATCCAAACACCCCATCACGAGCCAAGGGCGTCGAGGTCCCTACGGTATGAAGCGCGGGAAGAGAGCTTATCTGAACCCACATCACTAATAGTCAAACTCCGCATAACGCCTGCAAAGTTCAGGGAATGGGTAAGGAATCCAAGAGCTTTCGTAAAGCCCGCTGGAACTCCCATGATGACACTCTCGCAACCACCAACGCGGGGTACGCCTACCGCAAACTCGATGCCTCCTCCACCGTCACCCGCCATGCCTTCCCGCTCCACACCGACAGTACCGACATCCGTTGAAGCTTCGCCGAAGCCACCTTCCACCCCCACACCAACGACACCGAACAAGCAATGGAATTACAAGCCGGATGGCTCATTGGAAGCACCTTGGCCAACGCCCGCCGCTTCACAACATGTAAGATGTCTCCTTGCTTCCATGTAGTCATATCTGACCCATAACAGCCTCCCACTCCCCCATGGCTCCAAAAAGCGCTCCAAGACCTACGCGATAAGAATCCCGGGGAGCTCTTCGAATCTACCATGCGCTACGCAGTCATGAACGAGCGCCACGAGGACCCGAAGACTGGCGAGATGGTGTCCAGACAAGTCAAGCTAGATACACTATCTCCAACCGCTCCTCTGCCAGCGAACCACAAAGCGTACTTCCTCCCGCGAATCCGATGCATAGACTGCCCAGGAAAGCTGTACAACGCTGGGCCCGAACAGACGGTCAACAATTTTGAATTACATCTGAAGAACCGCGTACACATGGAGAACGTGCGCAAACGGACTGGTCAGCCATTGTAGGCTTAGCATTCAGATTGCCTGTCTGCGCAAACAGGAAATGATATTCAGATAAGCATAGCGGGGTCGTTTTTCATATTGGCAAGCGCATCCAGGGTATAGAAGCCCGTGTAAAAACAGCGGATCACGTGGAGTTGCGCATGCGGACAACGTGCTTGTCTATCGGCGTTCTCATTTGTCGGCTACAACTCGGAAATTTGGGCCCCTCTTGGATTATAACACGGAGGATTGGCATAGTTTGAAGCCTTCGTCATTATGCGGCACTATTTTGAGTACCTTCCTTCTTCTCTTAGTTGCTGGTGTCGTTTGTAAAGTATAAGTAGGGTTGGTAGTCTTCGACGCAGCGATGTAGGTAGGCGTCAATTACAGTTGTTCATATCAAGACCGTGCCAGTGCCATCTCTCGATACTGTGAAGGCCTCTATTCGTCTCTTTACCACAAGCCTTCTTCGCAGTCGTTGCCAGAGAGAACATCGTCCCCGCTTCACTCCGTCACGTGTTCGGTTCCGGTAATACCTACCTAGTAGCCTGTCGTCATGATGCTCAACGCAGCGCTTCTTGTCACCACCCTGCTTGCCTTCATCATGAAAGCACAAGCTGCTACTCTCCCAATCCGAATCTTGACCCACAACATCCGTTATGCCGCCGATCCACCCGCCGCAGGCGAGAAGCCCTGGTCAACACGGAAACAACTGATCCTCAACGAGCTGCACTACAACACTCTCCACAACCCCGAAGCCTTCATCTGTCTACAAGAAGTGCTCAACGAGCAAATCGTCGACATCATGGCGGGCCTCGGCAACGAATGGGCTTACATCGGCGTCGGCCGCGACGACGGCAAAACCGAAGGCGAATACAGCCCCGTCATCTACCGCCCAGCCGTCTGGGAACTCGTAACCTGGAAGACCGTCTGGCTAAACGAAGACGGCGCCGTTGGAAAGAAAGGCTGGGACGCAGGCTCCGTTCGCATCGTGACCATCGGCACATTCAAGCACACGACAAGCAAGAAGGAAATAGTAGCCATGTCAACGCATTTCGACAACGCCGGCGCCATCTCGCGCCGCGAATCTGCGAAGATCATCGAGGGAATTGCCGCGGATATTGCTTCCCCGTCGTCAAACTACTCGTCTACTGGCCTGCCTTTCTTCCTGGCCGGCGACCTCAACTCTGAGGTTACGGATGATGCGTACATGATGCTGAATAACGCGTCGTCGCTCCTGCAAGATACGAAGGAGCAGGCTAAGTGGCTGTATGGTGATGAGAATACGTATACGGCGTTTGATGATGTGGATAAGGCGCTGATTGACTTTGTGTTTGTGGGTCCGCGAGGAGAGGGGGATTGGGGTGTTGAGGGGTATAGTGTGTTGCCGAATCGGTTTGAGGATGGGGTTTATGCTAGTGATCATCGGGCGGTGGTTGTGGATGGGGTTTTGCAGGTATAGATGGGAGGGTGGAGTGACACTATGATCTTATATCATGAATGCGATTCCGTATCGACGAAATACCCATAGATTTGCAGAAATTTGCGCTTGCTCTGTAAAGATTCTTTGAGAATGCGAAGTACATCATGAGAGTGGGGATGGTATGATACCAGTTCAATGTTCAATAGCATAGATGTGTTCTTTTGCCAGGTACACTATGTTCGATGTCATCAAATGTCTAGCACCTGATGGCACGCTGTCGAAGCTGTCAGCAGCGTGGCATACATGCAGCTGCGTAACCGCAGTGAGGTTGCACTGCAATAATGGAGATGCCAACCTAGGCCACAAACACGAGCTCGAAACGGTGATTCAAATGATCACAAGTCCAGTTTCTATACCTAAGGTAATTAATTCAGGAACAAGCAAAGCAGGTCGAGTGTGACGTTGTCAGGCGATCATCGTCATTGGGCTTTGGCTAAGCGAAAGCTCGAAAGCACCCCACTGAGGGGCTGGCCTGAACACAGGAACGACCTCGCGCACCACTCCAATTCTAGCTCCTAGACCATCTTCCCACACTCAACTATACTCAAGATGGCCGAAACAGCAGCTGTCGGTAAGCTCGATCCTTGTTCGCTATTAATGCCATCAACATGAGAAGCTATTCAGACGAAAATAGCTTCAGCCTCAGTTTTGTGCTGTCCATGAGTCGCAGAAGCTAACCCATATTGTAGACTACACTCTGGCGAACCCAGATACTATCACCAAGTACAAGGTCGCCGCCGATATCTCCCAGAAAGTCCTCAAGGAGGTCTCCGGTACGACGCTCCCCACACCTGCGCTCGTTTCCCGCGCGTAAACACGAACATAAACTGACCAGTCCAGGATGGATCGCCGCTGATGCCAGCATTGTCGAGCTCTGCGAGCGCGGTGACAAGCTCCTAGACGAGGAGGTCGCCAAGGTCTACAAGGGCAAGAAGGTCCTCAAGGGCATTGGACACTGCACCACCATCTCGCCGAGCGCCTACATCACCCCGTACACACCCCTCAAGACCGATGCAGAGGAAGCCGCTGTCACACTGAAGGAGGGAGAGGTTGTCAAGATCCAGCTCGGTGCCCAGATCGATGGCTTCTGCGCGATCGTTTGCGACAATGTCATTGTCGGAGCTGCCGACGAGGTCACCGGACGGGAGGCAGATCTCATTCTGGCTACACACTACGCGAACGAGCTTCTGCTGAGGTTGATGGTACCCCCAGGCCTGGTTCCCCACGGCGACGAAGAGGAGCAAAAGAAGGCTGCGTCAAAGAAGGCCTACACCCAGAGCCAAATGACCAACATGCTTGAGAAGGTTGTCAAGGCATACGGTTGCAACCTCGTCGAGAGCACCACCATCTGGCAATTCGACCACAACGAGATCGAGTCCAAGAAGAAGATCATTCTTGCGCCCGGCGAGGGTGTCAGAGGAGAGGGTCTCCCTGAGGTCGGCGAAGTGTGGGGTGTTGAGATGGGTGTCAGTCTCGGAAGCGGCAAGGTCAAGAGCAACAGCAACAGGACCACTCTGCACCGACGTACAGCCACCACCTACCAGCTCAAGCGCCCTACCTCGCGAAGCCTGTTGTCTGAAGTTGTCAAGAAGTTCGGCACCTTCCCCTTCAGTCTGCGCCAGCTTGAGGACGAGAAGGCTGCCAAGGTTGGTGTTGTCGAATGTGTCCGCACAGGTGTGCTCCGCCAGTACGAAGTTGTCGTTGACAAGGACAACCAGCCCGTAGCTAGGTTGTTCAGCACTGTTGGTAAGTCCGAGGATTTCCCCTGCTCTGTCTGTGCACGGAGATGCCCGATATTGGCCGATGTGGTCGATTGCTCGATCTCCATATTTCCGCCTTCGTTTGCTTGATTGCGAAGGATTATGAAACTTGCTTCAATAGCTAACATTTTAACAGCCATCACCAAGAACGGCATGCAGCGTCTGGCTCAACCCGCTGCCATCGACACACCCAAGTACAAGTCTGACAAGAAGATTGAGGACGAGGAGATCCTCAAGATTCTCGAACAGCCCATTGGAAAGACTTCGACAAAGAAGAACAAGAAGAAGAAGAAGAAGCCCGCCAAGAAGGCCGCTGACGGCGGTGCTGCTCCTGCCGAAGAGGAGGAGAGTGACGACGAGGAGTAGACGCAGCTTGCGGAGACCTTGACGCCATACCCGCCTCTCGACTATGAGCCTGGATGACACGGACTTTTTTGGTGACTGCAAAAAACGGCAGGATCGGAAAGAAAATCGGCAAAAGACCCAGGTCTGATGTGCTTTCTCTTGTGCTCGTGCACATGATTAAGTAGAAGCGATAACAATCCAAAAAAACAGACACCTATTTACCCACCAGCATTTTTCGCTTCTTATGAGTGATATTGACTAATGTAGAATCTGATAGCTAACGCGCGCGCATTCAAGGAGCTACAGACGGCTCACGGACTGAGACCGTACCAGGTGGTCTGGGGAGTCTTTGACAGTCGCACACAGCTTCATTTCCCTTATGTTTAAGCGACCGTGGACGCGACATACATGCCAGTCCTTTCAGAAGGAGCTTTTTGTTTTCGAGGTACTTGTAGCGAAGGGTGGAGTGGACGTTGGGCGGCTTCGCGTCATTGTTCTTGTCTTCGGTTTATCTTGTCCACCCGTCATGTTATTCCCCCCCCCCAAACGGCGAACATGGCAAATCGAGAGAGGCTACAAGAGATACCTGGCTGTGTTGTTCGCTACAACACACGAAAGTTATGGTGCCCTACGCGGATAGCCAGGCATGGTATAGAGTGAGGTAAAGCATGGAACAGAATTTACCCCTGAGTAGATCATGCAAAGACAGGATTGTGTAATAGAGATTCGTCGAAGTGAAGTCAAGAAAGATGTCAATACTATCATCTCTATTCAGGCGCGCGTCCACGTATTGTACGACCCGATCTGCATGTGGCGATTGGTGAAGGTGAACTTGGGCACGTCAGGGAAAAAGCGGACAATAGATCGTGGATTCTTTGGTATCATTACACCAACACCGCACCCCGCCTTTGTCAGAACTGAAAAAACAATCCGACAATCGAAGAAGCTTCCGGCTATTCATATATTTCATTCCTGACGACAGTAAGACATGGCGATGTTTGCGCATGCGTAGGGGGCTGACATAATAAGAAGGTCCGTCCAAGCGTCCAGGGCACCCTCGAACAACCTTCAGCGACTCTCATTCCTGCACTACCGACCCACAACGACGGGCACGGCATTGCGGCGTGTAAATTCTCGGACAACACGTGAAGTAAGTCTCACCGTCTTCGTGATTGTTATAGCGCGCTGACCAAACTGTAGTTTCGCCATGCCGGCCCTCCGCAAGTCTCTCCGGGAGTCGCGCGACTTCAAATCGCAACAAAGGTCCAGCACCACGCCCTACGCCTCACCCACCGGCACCCCGAGCGAGCACGCCAACGAGAAGAAACAGCGTTCAATTACCGAGTGGACTGAACCCCAACCGCAAACTCTGGCCCCATCGTTCGAAGAGCACGGGTTTGCGCGGCACGGCGTCTTGGAAAACATGGCCCCCCTCGGTGTCCCTCCAAAGGCCAAGGACAAGCAGCGCGCGCGCGCTCTCGACGGACCGGCTGCTCGAAATTCGCTATTGGGGAAGAGCTTGGGCTTCGGTGGTGACGAGGTTGGGTCGACGCCAGAGGTCACTCCAGCTCCTGAGCTCGAGCCTGACGACTCGGAGCGGCAGGAGGAGGAAGAGATGCAGGCCGCCTTCCCCATCCTGGAAGACGACGAGGACGACGACTACGAGCCCGCGACAAAACCGAAGAAGAAAGTGAAGGTGTCGAAAACTCCTGTCAGGGGCAAGACCCCAGTGCAGAGCAAGACACCTGTCAATGGCAAGACGCCCACAACGAAAATCGGTCACACCAAGAGCGCCTCGGTTTCCGCGAGCCCGGCAGTACAGGCAGTCTCTATGTCGGAGCCAGTTGAGGCTGCGACACAGCGCATTCAGATTGCGGTCAACGATGCGATTTCCAAAGCCAACAGCAACTCGGGCAAGCGCTACGTGGGCATTGCCTTGAGGCGCGCCTACGAGCAGAGCAAAATCGATTCCAACTTGGCAGACGCAATCGAATCAGTTATACAAAGAAACAGCACCAATGCGCAGATGGTCCGATTTCGCAGGTTCATCAAGCAATTCAAGCAAGAGGAAAAGGCGAGGATGGGCTTGGGCAAGAACGGGCGCTTTGACCAGCAATTCGCGATGAATCACGGAGCTTCATTCTTCAGTCAGCAACCATCTCCTAGGGCTAGTAGTGAAATTGTTCCTGATGACTCTGCCTCCGCCGTCAACGACTACCAAGATCGAAAGTTCATGGACTCTACTAATTCGGCTACAAGCTTTTCGCACAGAGCATTGCAATCAGCTCTTGACCAAAATTCGGGTCAAGCACCTCACCCATTCAGCAGCGCACCCGCTCTACCAGCCACTGCAGATACCTCAAATGAGTCAACGCCGAGACAGCCGTCCAAGTCGCCCAGGAAACGAACCGCTACCAACGGAACCCGGGCCCAGGATTCTGCAATGGATGTGGAAGGAGGATTGTCGACCGGGGCACCCACTCCAGCAGCGAGGACACCGGACACCGGTGGGAGCGATTCTGAGCTGTCGGACGTCAATGAAGAGATCGTCCAGAAAGGCCCTCCAGAGCCTGTGCAGGTCAACGGGAAACCCGCTGCACCTGCGCCTGTCGTGCCACCGAAGAAGGGAAAGAACATTGCGGCTGCGCGTGCTGCTAAAAAGATGAAAGGAAATGCCGGAAAGCTTTTTGGAAAGCATGCCTACAAGCAACAGCCACCAACTGCAGAACAGCAAGCGGAGGATGACCGAATCTATGAGATGCGAAAGGCTATGGTGGACCAGCAGCCTATTCGCAAGTTCGAGCAGTTCCCTCCCCCCGTCTCTGATGTTCGCTTTGATGACGAGATTCTTGAGACTGAGTCTCTGACCGACTCTCAAATCGCTGTGGGGCCACCAGTTGATTCAGATCAACCACGACGCGCCGGACGAGTTCCAAATCATGGAACCAAGCGCCTGCGAGAGGATCCGTCGCGCTTCTCCTCACCTCAGTTTGAGCCTGCCATGTCGTCGCGTCCTTCAACGCCAGCAGTGGGGCCGGCACCTAAGCGGGTCAAGCTCACCAACGGGCAGGGCGCCAGGACAAAACGATCGTAAGTATTCCCAGCTCATTTTCTCAGCATCCTTGTCAATCTCTCGGCGTTGGTCGATGCATGTACCCGGTTCAGCACAGGGCTGTAAGCGTCGACTGAGCAAGCTCTACGTGTTTGCACGTGTTTGCATCGTACATTCCGTACATGTCATCAAATCATTACAAGGCTAACTGTTACACGTATAGGCCGGTCAAAAACCGAGACGCAGGACCTATTGCTGGTGTAGCCTTTACTGGTGGTGGCGGTTCGAGACAGTTGGGGCCTGATGACAATGACCCGGTAAGTGCCACTGGATTCCCGAAGCATCCAACCACACCATTCCTCTTCCACCACACAACTCATCAACAACAATTTCTCTTTTTCATCCCCAACATCAATGTTGCTCACTACAGACATCACGCCGCTCAAATTTCCATATTCTCCTCCACTTTCTGTCCTTTCTTCACCTCTAACAGAATGTCAGAACTCGCCACAGTCAGAGAGCGACGACTTCTGCTCTGCGTGTAGAGGCGCAGGCGAGTTTGTGTGCTGCGAAAACTGTCCACGCGTCTTTCACCTTCTCTGCTGCGATCCGCCGCGAACAGAGGTTCCAGATGGAGCGTTCTACTGTTATGAGTGCAACACGAAGTTCGCTGCATCCGACGATGCCGCAGAATCGTATCCTAGCCTGGGTCCCCTCTTCAGCAAGCTTGAGCGCACAAATCCTCGCGCGTTTGCTCTACCTTCTGATATTCAAAATAACTTCGAGGGCGTTTCTGCACGTCCCGACGGCTCGTATTTTGAGGAGGTCAAGAAGTTTCCACTGTAAGTGTGACGCGTTCTGTCGCGTGATTTGGCACTGACATCACAACAGAGCGAAGAACAGTGGCTATGGCTACCAGAAGCCAGAATACACCAGGCTTATTGATGCTGACCACAAAGTCATTTTATGCACGCAGTGCGGAGTGTCGAGCGGCCACAAGCGTCAAATGCTGAAGTGTGACTTTTGTCACGCGTACTGGCACTTGGACTGCGTCGACCCGCCTCTCGCTAACCCACCACACATCAGCCTTGAGGCATCGCAGCGGGATGCCTGGAGGTGTCCTCGACATATCGAACATGACCTTCGCAGCGGTTTACTGCTGCAGAACGACTTGAGTTCCAAAGATGGGGATTCTGAAATGGCCGATGCCGCGCCGGTAACTCGGGTGCCACGCAGAGTGCGAGTGCGCAAGCAACCCGAATATGTCGAGCCCACCTTTTCACGTGGCATGCGAAACAATGGCTTGATCGATATCACTAACGATCCTGACGACGACACTGATGGCGAAGGCAATTATGTGTTTGGTGACAACGATCCCAAGGATGTCAACTCCAAGGTCTTCCGTGTTCCGGAGAAGGGAGTCATCCTTGACTTCGTCAGCAAGGTCAAGAGGTATATACTGTCACATCAGCAGCTCATTAAACTCGTCACTAACACATTGCAGTGGCCGTGTAGTCAAGAAGGCCGAAGCCCGCAAGTCCGCAGAAGCTGCGTCACATCGCAGAGCGTCCATGCAAAATTTCCTTGCGCACAACTTCCAGCAGCAGCAAGCAGCACTATCTCTGGCACAGCTGGCAAACAAGACGCCAGAAATGAACCTGGGTGAGGGCACAGTTCAAGCGCTCATCCTCGGTCTCACTGTAAGACAGCCTGTGGCCCACCGGCCTTGTTTTGATCCTTGGCGCTAATCCACGTGAAACAGTCCGAAGCTCCCCCGGCCGTCATCACCGCCATGTCCAACGCAGACCCACCACCGCCCACTGATGACGAGCGCGCACAGTTGAAGATGCTGCAGCAGCTCATTCAGCGTCGACTTGGAGCTTGATTCCTGTTCAAGCACACCGGATCTGAACCTAAACATTTAGCCTGGTTGTCGTGACGCCACCGCGCAACCTGGACCCATCTGGGCCCCCCACAACACTCCTCATGCACTCAACACCAAAGATACCAACTCCGCCATACTATTCCAAGACATTGTCGTCAAGGTAGTGCATAGTTCCTAGGCTGTCCGTGGCGAAGTCGTTGGGAATGCTCAGCCGTCAGCTCAGCCAACCCGCTCAACTTCCGTACTCGAACATGACACTTGTTCGCTAACGGACGCGCGGCACGGTCCTTGCCCGACACGTCAACGATTTTTGCTCTCTTTTTTTGAAAAAAAGCTCTCTCTCTCTGCCCCATTCCCCGTACCTTGTTTCCGGCGGATCACCTGTTTTGCACACGATGCGCGAATTCAGCGCTCGTTCGTTCCCCCCACCCATACGTCTTTGTTTGCCGGTACGGACAGCTATTTACTGCCAAGTCCCTGCGCGCTTTTGCCAGGGACGCTTCTCTTTCGCTGTACCACACAACTGCATAGCGAGGAGTTTCACACGGGGTATTACTTTGTACATTTTGAGCTCTTGGTGAGGAGCTTTTTTTCGTTTTCTCGTCCTTGTCTTCGGCGTTCTTCTGGGGGGAGGGAAAGCTGAACGCGTGTGCCAAAGTGTTAAACTTTCTTTCTCCCAACCCTCCGCTGTTTGCGAGTTTGACCGGTTTCACGTTAACTAGTATACTTGCGAAGCTTGTATACTGGTTTCGAAACGGGAAGGGAGGGGAGGGTATCTGGATGCGGTATCTTAGGAAGAGATGTAGTATTAGTCGGTCTATGAACTGGGTGGATGCTGTGTCTATGAACCTTTCTTGTGCCTCCGTGCAGATGAAGTTTGACGTGAAACGTGAAGTTGCGGCTCACTTACGTGAGAATCAATGAAGAAGAGCAGGAGACTTTGCGGACCAACTGGGGGGGGGGGGGGGGGTGCCCGGGGTGCCCCGTG